CTTCCCTTCTCCAGGGGAGGACCATTTGTGGGGAACGTCACATCCATCCCTGGAACCGACAGTGTGAAACTGCAACACATTGTCACTGAGAGCACTCGGCTTCTGTTCTTCCATCGAACTCTTAAAACACAGCTGGCTTGTCCCTGAGAGTTTATCAAGTAAAGTAATCATTTTTTATCTTTTCTTCAAATGATGCAACACACAATACAATTATCGTAGAGAACAGTAAAATCTCTATCCAGCAAAGGAATATTTAAAATCAAATCCCGGAGAAGCAACTGGTTAGTCAGAATCCACCAAGGCTAAAAATAGATACACAGAAGAAGATGGTGATGACACGTTTTCTAGAGTGGATAAGTGATTTGGAATTAGTCAACACGAGTCATACAACCGTTATAGCTAAGCTGATCAGCAAGCATGATCTCACTAGCACCAACAGAAAAACAAACCCCTAAGAAATATACAAGAAACCTAACATATCTTACCTCGATCAAAAGACCAAAGCGTGCACCACGTTAAATCCTGATCCTAAGTTTCTTCCAAGGTATGCTCCAGGCAAGACCTAGAAATTGCAACTTCCACTAATTAGCACATCTTGCTTGCCGATCTACGATTCTCTCACTTAAGTAGCAACTCTGATTTCCCGAAAACTAAGCAACTACCAGAATTAGCTATATATGGAACCAAACTAAGCTAACCAACTAAATGGAAGAATCAACAAAACGAAAATAGAAGTGTTTCGGCTACACGAAAATCTATCGCAAGATAGAAATCAATCACAGCGACGTCATTGAACATGAGATTAAGACCATTGGCCTACCACGAAAACAAGGAAAGCACAACGTACACGAAACGGTTTACATCAAGGGACCACGGACGATGACGGAGAAAAAAATAAAGCAAAACGATGTAGTAGTAGGAGAAGAGGAAGACGAACCAGTGGTGTGGAGAGAATCTCGTCGAGGCGAAAATTTTCCGGGGAGACGGAAGCGAGGAGAGAAGGTAGAGAAGCAGAGAGAAAGAGGAAGAGAGAGTTGGCGTTTGGAGAGACGCATGGTGGTGGTTAAGCTATTAAATAGGCATTGAGAATCGAATTCTGGAGAAAGAATAATAGGTACAACTGGAAAACAACTACTTGGGAATGCCGTCGAAAAAGTTGGATTCGAACTGATACACCACTCAGACATTTACCGGAAATTCGCCGGCGAATATTCCCTCCGTTTCAATTGCATTTATTTGTATTTTTTTTTATTTTTTTTTTTCGCTTCTCTCACTCGCCGGAACTAGGGAGGGAAACGAGGTGTTGCCGAAGAGGAAGAAGAGATCCCCGAAGAAGATGTGCCACGTGGCATATTAATAAATACGTGGTTGTGACTGTTTAGGGCTTTTTAAATTTAGATGGGCTTTAAACCTAATTTTATGGGCCTACAATTCAAGCCCAGTTATTAAAGCTCACACTTCAGTGCTCTTTCCCGTCTTCCCCATTTTTTACAGTTCGCTCGCGTTCATCTCTCTCACATCAACGGATCGTGGTTCGCGTGAACACTACGCGCCGCCGTAAGCTTCAAGTCTTTAGTCATGTCTGCGACTTCTTCCTTACGTGCTCGACTAGCTTTCGTGGCTTTACTCTCGGCGACGACTTTTTACTGTATCCATAAATATCGCCGGTTGAAACGTCTCAAAAACCTCTCCTTAAACCCTAGCTCTACCTCGAAACCCGCCAGGGGAAAGATCTTTTTCATCTCCCAAACTGGTACTGCTAAAGCGTTAGCTGAACGGCTTCACGAGCTCTGCGCATCTAATGAAATAGCATTTGATCTCATCGATCCACGGAGCTACGAACCTGAAGATCTACCCAAGGAAACCCTTGTTATATTCATCACCTCGACTTGGGACGGTGGGAAGCCGCCTAAAAACGGAGAATTTCTTGTGAACTGGCTTGGTGAGAGCGCAGAGGATTTCCGAGTTGGCTCGCTTCTTCTCTCCGATTGCAAATTCGGCGTATTTGGTGTCGGGAGCCGTGCTTATGGTGAGTCTTATAACGCTGTGGCAAAGGAATTATCCAGTCGGATGATAGGATTGGGTGGACTCGAGATGATTCCAGTGGGAGAAGGTGACGTTGATGACGGAGAATTAGACAAAGCATTTCAAGAATGGTGTGATGGAGTTATTAGGGTTCTGAAAGGAGGGTCTGTTCAAGAAACAAATGGGGTTTCGCATCAGAATGGTGCTGTTGAGAATGATCTTGAGTACTACGATTCGACAGATGATGAAGATGAAGACAATGATGAAGATGGAGGTATTGTTGATCTTGAAGATATTGCTGGAAAAGCTCCTTCAAAGAGAAATGGCATAGTTAAAGTCACTAAAGGCGATGGAAAGAAAGAAATGGTGACCCCTGTGATTAGAGCAAGCTTAACGAAACAGGTATTGGGCTGTGTGTTTGAGCTTTGAAGCAGTGTTTACATTTTCTCGCATTTTCTTGCATGAACATGGCTTTTACACTTGCAGGGATATAAAATCATTGGTTCGCATAGCGGGGTTAAAATATGTAGATGGACTAAGTCACAACTTAGAGGCAGGGGAGGTTGCTATAAGCACTCCTTTTATGGCATTGAGAGTCACAGGTTTAATTGAAAACTTCTGCTATTTCTCCCCCTAGTCGTAAGGATATAGGCTCGTGATTCTTATGATAGAATATTCGATTTTCTCAAATAAACTAGGTGCATGGAGACAACACCCAGTTTGGCTTGTGCAAACAAATGTGTCTTTTGTTGGAGACATCACACAAATCCTGTTGGGAAAAGCTGGCAGTGGAAGATGGACGAGCCTTCAGTTATTGTGAAAGGTGCTCTAGATCTTCATACCAAGATGATTAAGCAAATGAAAGGAGTTCCAGGTTAGTTTATATCTCTCAATATTTTGACCCTTGTTAGCTATGATTTCAAAAGCCTGCTAGGCAGATTGAGCCTTAGGATGCCTTTTGGAAGTTAGATGTGTTCTGGGTGTTAATTTTATCTGATTCATTTGTTTCCACTATTTATTTGAATATCAGATGCTGATGTGCATGTTCTTGCTATGTTCTTCAGGTGTAACTGCAGAGAAATTACAAGAAGGTCTAAACCCAAGACATTGTGCGTTGTCACTTGTTGGTGAACCCATTATGTATCCGGAGATCAATGCCCTTGTAGATGAGCTACATGGAAGGCGTATTTCTACATTTTTGGTTACTAATGCACAGTTCCCCGAGAAGATTTTGATGATGAAGCCTATCACCCAGGTCTGTAATGTCTGTTTTGTACATTTATTTCCAGCTATTCATGCACTTAACTGAATCAAATTGCCTAACTCATTATCTTTGACATATATAGTTGTACGTAAGTGTAGATGCTGCCACCAAAGAGAGCTTGAAAGCTATTGACAGGCCTCTCTTTGCAGACTTTTGGGAACGTTTTATTGTGAGTATTTTAAGTAGCGTCCTTTAATGAACCTTTGAAATGAAAAGTGAATTAAGGTAAAGGTATAATGTCTGCATCAATTGATTTCCAGGACTCCTTGAAAGCTCTCCATGAGAAGCAGCAGCGAACTGTCTACCGTTTAACACTTGTCAAAGGATGGAACACAGAGGAGCTAGATGCTTATTTCAACCTTTTCAGCATTGGGAAACCTGATTTCATCGAGATCAAAGGCGTCACATATTGTGGAACGTGAGTGTGTTCTACTTTTTATCATCTTGCTTGCGCTCGTGTTACACACACATATCATACTTATGTTAGTCTTCTGGAAACAATACAAAAACAGATCTGCAACATCAAAGTTGACAATGGAGAATGTACCGTGGCACGCAGACGTGAAAGCATTTTCAGAAGCTCTGTCTTCGAAGAGCAAAGGGGAGTACGAAGTTGCTTGCGAACATGCCCATTCCTGCTGTGTTCTTCTAGGGAGAACCGAGAAGTTCAAAGTGAATGGAAAGTGGTTCACTTGGATTGACTATGAAAAGTTCCACGATCTGGTTAGTTAACAACCCCAAAATATGATCATCTCAAAATCAAGTTTTCTTTGTAATATGTAATAAACAACACTATTGAATGACATCGCATAGGTTGCTTCTGGAGAACCATTCACGAGCTCAGACTATATGGCTCAAACACCATCATGGGCGGTTTATGGAGCAGAGGAAGGTGGGTTTGATCCAGAGCAGTTGCGTTTCAAGAAGGAAAGGCATCACCATCCTAAACCGCAGGCGGTTTTAGCTTAAGACTTTTAGTAAGCTAAGCTAATTTGTTTTTTTGGCTGTCGCCATCATCCTAAACCACAGGCGATCTTAGCTTAAGACAGGAACAAAGATACAACTATTTTGTTATCCCTTACAGCTCCTTCTTCTACATCTAAAGCTTTTTTGTTTTGTTTTGTGTCATCTAACTGTGTTAACTCGTGGAGAGGCGTTTCGTTTTTGAAATCATATCAAACTTGGAAACAGTTTCAATCCTTGAGTTGGATTTTGTATCTGATATGATAATGTTTCAATGTTTTGGGGAAACTTTTTGAAGATTAATTCGCACGTGAAGCCTTGCGGACCCAATAGTTGTCTTGTGTAAAAATAGCCAATTTTACCATCAACGTGGACTCGTCAAGTCTCTTTCTCTCTCTGCTCCAGAGTAACTTAGTTGGGATAACTTTAGTGGACAAATTACATCTGTTTGGTTAAAAACGTAGCTGGCGTTGCGATTTAAATAATAGACAGCTTCTTTCACTAGCAATGCAAATATCCATCAGTTTCTTAACTTATCCGTTCACCATGTGCGTTGGTTGGTTACCTTTTATCATTTATCATATAAAAATTCGAAAGAGACGTAACCATCCATCAACTACGCGACCATTAAATAAAACAACCTACTACAACTTTTTTAAAAGAAAACCCTAAACACCTTTCTCATGGAAACAATTACTAATATTTAGTTGAGTTTAAGCGTTTTAAAGCTATATTTTTGACGCACCAATATCAAACAGTGAGATCGACAAAATTAGCTTCTTGTTTTTGAACTACAACATCCAAGAAAATTATAATTTAAATTGTCTTTCTCTGAGAGGGTGCTAATTAATTTGTAGCTCAACGAATAATCCAAGAACACAGAAATACAGAAAAAAAAAAACTAAAAAAAAGAACTCCATTGAAATGGTAATAAAAGATTACCAACTCTTAACCGGCGTGCTTTTCCTCCTCGACCGTCTAGACGACGGCTGTGGAACGACCACCTTCACCGTCATCTCCGGCTTCTCCTCCTCCTCCTCCTCCTCTAGTTCTTCATGTTTCAACTTTTGCTCTTCTTCCGCACTACAACTACTACTCCTAACTTTCTTCTTCTGCTTCTCTCTGTTTATGACCTCAGCTTCCTCGTCTTCTTCTTCATCTTCGTCCTCATACTCTTCGTAATCCTCGTCTTCTTCAGACTCTTCCTTCTTGAAATCTTCCGGGTTCTCAAGATTCTTCCTTGGCCTTCCTCTTCGTCTTCTTGTCGTCTGAGACTCCGTCGGAGATGAAGCTTCCGCTACCGTCGCTTCCTTTGCTTTCTGAAACCTTCTCTTCCCCATCAGTTCGCTTTTTTATTTTTTTTCCAACAGAATAATATATTTCTTGAACAGCTTGTAAGATTTTCAATATCTCCAAGAGCAATAAATTTTCTTTTATGTTTTACAGACAGAAACAAAAACAACAGTCTTTAAAATCAAAAGCCGCCCACTCTTTGGTCTTTAGATTATTTAAAAAAAAATAACAATATCAGAAGAAAAAGTAGATTTTATTTTTGTCCGTTGGTTATCTCTTCTATATTATCCACCAGTATAATACATGTATGACATGTATTGATGTATAGTCTACGTTCTTATACATATAGAAGTAAATATTTTCTTTGCTTTGTTACACACACTCCTTGCAGAAGTATAGTATATAATCAAAAAATTAAAATAGCAAAGCTTCGAAGATTGTTTTACTACGCTCTCATTGCATTATTATTGCCACCTTATCTCACCAGGCAGGCACCCGTGAGCATGTGAGTTTCCAACCGTGACATTCTTTATATTGAACACAACAACACAACGAATGACTTATACCAAAATTTATGTAATGACTCGCTAAAGTCACGTGTACGTTAAACCAAAAAACGGCACGACGTTCTTAATACATTAACGGGCCTAAAATTTCAAGGCCCAACAAAATACACCGTTTTAAAAAAAACAGACAAGAAAATGCATGTCGTTTTAGATGAATACGACCGACGTGGTGTTGCTGTCTCGTAAATAGCGAATGAATGGTTTTGTTTGGTGGTGAAGGGATAAGATCACGTGATCGAAAGTCAGAAGAGAAGAGAAGAGAAGAGCCCCATCTTCTTCGTCTTCCTCTCCGTTGGATCTCTCATATATATATAAAAGAAAAAAAAGGCAATTCTATCGAGTTCCCATCACTCCTTCTGATTAATTTTCCCTTTCACTGCAGATTCACAGTATATACAGTTTTCGATTTTTTCTTTTGTTCGTTTCGATAAAGACATAAATAAAAATTTGCTGGAAAATATCAATTTGGGTAACGTCGCCACGCGCCGAGAGCTCGCACTATATTGAAAGCTATGATCTAGGGGAGGAAGGATCTTACAAATCCTACTTGGCCACAAAAATTTTGCTATTTTTTTTTCTCCGTGTTATTTATTTTTTAATTTGGACACAGACAGGAAGATTAATATTAAGCACTAGTTTTGTTGCAAAAATCACCAAAATAAGTGGGTTTTGTGGATGGAAACATCTTCTGGGTGAGCCTTCTTTTTGCTTTCTTTCTCTCCTTTCTTTTCTCCGGATTTTTCTAGGTTTTCTGAATTCTTTTTTTTATTTTTATTATTGGGTCTTTAAAGGTTGTTCCTTTGTGGTATACATAGAAAGGTTAATTTTCATTTCACCTGGTTTCAATCTCTGCGGTTTCTTATTAGAAGATTTGGATGTTTTTTTGAAGAGAGATTTGTTTCTGCATCTGTTATTTTGATTTCTTTGACCATCTCTGTTTTTGTCAAGTGAGTAAAGTTTCAATCTTGGACCTTTCTTCTCTTTCATTACTTTGTTTGCGTCTTCTATTACCTTGATGAATGCTTCCATTTTGGGAAAGTATGATTCTTTTCCCCCGTTCATTTTTTCTTACGTTTTGTGATTCTCACGATATTCTCATTTCTGCAGCAAATCACGTATTGCAATCCAAATCGACCATATACGCATCTCTGATGCCAATGTTTACGATTCAGTGAGAAATAGAGATTGATTTGGGCTTCTTTAGTCATGGTGGAGCCTTATGAGACACGTAACAACTGTGAAGCATCACAGATGGCCAGATATCAGAGTTATAACCATCACAATTCCAGAATGCCATCGTCATCGTTATCATTATCATCGCCATTGCTTGATTTGAGAGTGTTCTATGTCAGAATCAGCAATTTCAAGGTGGATGCTTCGACACCTGAGGTTCTCACGATCACTCATATTCCCCTGGATCCAGATTCGCTTCTGGAGATAAACGGTGTTAGAATGAGCATGTACTCTGAAGGAGTTTCTTCTCAGCTTAGGCGAGATCGTGTTGATAAGAAATCTGAAGTAGCTACTTTTATCAGCACTGACAACATCAGGCTCTCTGGTAGTGTGAAGTTTGAGGTTTATGATAAAGATGAGCTGGTTTTGTCTGGAACGCTTGAGATGTCCGGTAGTAATGGTTTCACTGGTGAATCTAAGCATAGCGTGAAGCGGTGGAACATGAACTGTGAAGCTGAGATCACCGCAGGGTCTGGTTTCTTGAAGGAGAAACATATTGGTGGCTCGGATTTATCATCTCCACTGCCAACTATTGAAGTCTATGTCACTGGTTGCTTCTCAGGAACACCCATCATCTTAACCAAGACTCTACAGCTTGGTTTCAGAAAGAAACACAGTAGAGTGACTGCATTAGATTCAATTCCGGAGTATGAAACTGGTGAGCCTCATAAAGGCAACTCATCCGAGCTTGATTATCAGGTAACTTTAATTGCTACGTTACTATTTCAATATTATTATAATGCTTTCTAATAGTTTTCGATTGATTTATATCCAACTTCAACACATTGAATGCTTTGCATAAGATATGAGTCTTCTTGGCTATGCTATTATGAGCTTTAAGTTTTTCATGGTTTTGAGATTTCATAGTTTGAGACATGTTTCTTGGTACTCTTAGGAAGATAATTTCTTTAGATATTGAAGTGGACCAACTTCGTTATAAATGATCATGTGAGGTATGGGGCCTGACACCTTTTACAAGTCAATAGATAACTCTCTCCCTCTCTCTCTCTCTCTCGTAACACTCACTCTATCTCTCCCCTATGCCTATTGTCTTGTGATCTAAATATCTGAACTCTTATCCCCTTGTTAGTTCTTATGTCCCCGTTGATTGAAATATCGTGGTTTTCACATGTAATGCCACAATATATCGTCTATAATTTGTGCATAGAATGATTCGGGAAACGTTTGTCTATTAAGAGTCAATGTCAAGATTAACTTATGCATGGAGTTTTAATTGGAGGTTCTTGCAGTTGACCTTGTCAAAACCTTTTGGAGATTGTACTTTATACTCACCATATATTAAGAGCTTGCGTTTAACTATAGTGCAATGTCCATAACTTTGACTTAAAAGTTATGGAGGTGTAGACACTAATACTGGAAATATCTGAAAGCAAGTACCTTCAGCCACTGTTCGACAAGGGATTTAATCACCATTGTATTCTTTATTTAACTAGCTCTATGAATGCTTCTTAATTTTCTCTACAGAGATAGACATGTGCTACATACATAGATCTCTCTGTTCATAAATTCTTTGTTAAGGATGGGAGTTTTCTGTGCAGGTAACAGAATATGGAAGTTACAAACAAGAATATGAAGGAGAACACGGCGACATGTATTGGAATAGAGAGTATGCAGATGGTGAAGATGGTGAGATGTCGTGGTTCAATGCCGGTGTGAGAGTTGGTGTGGGAATTGGTCTCGGTGTCTGTGTAGGTCTTGGTATTGGGGTTGGCCTTCTCGTGCGAACCTATCAATCAACTACCAGAAACTTCAGGAGGAGGATTATATAGTAACATGCAAATTGTCTCGAGCTTCCCCGACTCTGTCTCTAACTCCAATCCATAGCACATCACTTTTGACTGCAGAACTTTAAGCTATATAGTCTAAGCTAATACCTGATGTGTAGTAAAATCTGTCTTCATGTGTATTTTTTTCTCTTTGTGCCTTCAAATTTTGAAAGAAACCGTTCTCTCGTGTTTGTTGAGATTACTGAAAGAAACAAAGTTTTTTTGCTGGTAATGTGAATCTATTGTCTCCTTCCTGTAAATAAATGCTTATGAGTGTAAAAGTTTTTGGATTCACCTACAAACCTTGCAAGAGTTACTAATACAAATCCTTCCTTTTATTTAATCAAAGCCATGTCTAAATTTTACAAACCCTCTTCCTAGCATCATAAGCGCCTATAATTAGACCATTTGAAACAACATCTAGCCTTCAAAACTGGTTAAGGGTTGGTTTGGATTGGCTCAGGAGAAATCTCAGCTCCAGAAAACCCATTGCTCGCCTGCAGCTGGTTATTGTTTCTGTGAATCAATCCCCAGAAGTTTGCAGTTTTGACATCTTCTTGGTTCATTTGCTTGGAGAATTCCTCATAGTTATACTGCAACAAAGCTTTCCCTCCAAATTCGGTTGGGAGATTTTCCTCGTCAAAAAATGAGCTCATAAGCTCCACGCTTTCCGGGTTCTTTGGGTAAACAAATTTCACCTTGACGAATGTCTTTGCATCAATAAAGTACTTCACAATCTGTGGGACAATACAAACAAAATGAAAATCGCATCATATTCCTACACATACATTATCATTTCATATGTAGAAGACCAAACATGCGCAAAATTTTCTTAGTCAACCAATGTTTTTGTCTAACTATGAGATAGGAGCAGTGTTTTGGCTAACCTTCCAAAATGCCTCAAATAGTCTTGGAGGATTATAGAGAAACGCTACAGCAAGTCTCTCAGGGTAGTGATTTTGGAGTATATTTATCGTTTCTCTAGCAGATTTAATAGGCACGCTGGTACTCATTGACCAGTTCGTGAAGTCAATAAGCCACGACATTTGTTCTTGATCCTCGGGCAGATTCAAAATAGCATTCTCAATGAGATACACCAGATGTTTCATCTGTTTGTCTAAAGATTTTGTGTTCTGCAGAAGTTTAGAAATGAAAATAAATGGTTAATCATGTGCCCTGAAGTTAACCCACTCCAAAAAATTAACTAAGAAGATGAGCTTTAGAAACCTGCAAGCCGGGTCTCAGTATAAGAACTGTTCTTCCATGCCTGTCATGGAATCCAGCTTTGTAAACTTTACCAGTCTCACCTTCACCTGAAACTTCATCCTAGTAGAAAGCAAGTCTCAATTGGTAAGTTTGGTAAGACGTCCAAAGGATTCCAAGACTAAATAACATTGATACATACCCATCGGATTTCCTCAGGTTTAAAGGTAGATCTCCATTTCAGCGTCTCCTCGAGCATCTTTTTGGCTTTGACTACGTTCCAATTCCTAGCTTCCAGATATCTCTTCAGACATGCATCTGAACAATAGAGTGAACTTCTTCCAGATAGCTGACCTAAGAGAGCCTTAAGCTCTTTGATCTGGATCATTTCAAAGATCAGAATATAATTACCTATGACGAATCAAATAAGTAAATAAGAGAAATCCTCAAGCAAGGCCTGTAAAGGTTTTACCTTGGCCTCTCTAAGAGCTGACTCATTATGCTCTTGTTCGGTTTGAGAAGAATTCTTCCAACGAAACATTTTCAATGGCACTTGGGATTGGGTCTAATATACCAAAATCTATCGTCTGTAAATGGAAAAAGCCATATATGTATATCAATATTCGTAAGATAATAAAAACGACGGGCGTTAAATCCAGAGTGAAGTAACATATAATCCAAAAGGTTGATGCATGTGACTGGAAATCACAGAATAAACATGACTCAACTACCTACTGTGCCAGCTGCTGACACAAGCTCTAAGAAACTCGAAACTCAAAATCAAAATCAAGTGAAGTTTCTCAATTCCCTTTAAGCAAACAGATCGATCAAAAAAGGATCAATCAACAAAACAAAGACATGCATAGTTGTTCAAGATCCACCAAAACTGAGAAAACTAGACAAAGAAATGTCCGATGAGCTCACAACAAAACCGAATAATTCAATAGTCCTACTACTTTTCCATTCGTCAGAGAACTGATTCTAGAGAAAACATAAAATCGAATCTAAAACCTGACATATCTACGAGATTCAGAAACACCGGAGATCGAAACCTAACAGAGAAAGAAGCGTACCTAAACAGAGAAGCAAGTAGTAGAGAGAAAGAGAGATTCTTTTTTTCTTAGTGAGAGACAAGTCGTCGAGAGTCAGCTGAAGAAAGATGAAACTGATAAAAATGAAGGAAAAAAACTAATGAGACATTCACCAAACGCCTTCCAGACACGACAGCAATAATAAATGTCTTTTTACTAACTGAACGGTACGGCACGGCACGGCACAGCACGTGAGACTCACGTACGTCTACATAGATGACAAATCAACTGAAGATCAAAGCCTCTCAAATAAAAAGCCTTTTTATCATGTCTATTTCGAATCCATAGAAGGCCCAGTTATGTCGTTGAATAAAAAAATTAGTAGCGATAGTCGACAATTAGCATACGATGATTATTTATTATTTAAAAAATGTTTGAAATTATATTTAAAAAAAAAGAGTTACAGAAATTTGATTAGAATTGCAGTACTAAAATTGTTACATCCGAAACATTCAGCAATTATCTGATACAGCAAAAACGAAACTGTACGAAAAAATCTAGACGTTCTTCCAAATTTTACGAAACACGATTTTGGTCCAAAAACAGTCTTCCTAACATGTCTTCAACTGCTTCGTAGTTAGCATGGAGGAGTCCTCAATTTAGATTCTTAAGAGAGGTCAAGACAACATACTAACGCCGATTTCATAATCACTAACATCACCGAAAGTACCAAGCACCATGAGAAGTTGTAACTCCGAATCAATACCAGTTAATTAGAATAGGATCAACCAATTAGAGATTAATTAAAAAAAATAGTAAATCTACTGAGATCATTTGCAAATAATTGTTTAAAGTAAATCACGCTTGGCTGTTTATCCTTTTTAATGTATAACCAGTTCTAGATATAAGTTTCGTTTAGTCAGAATGTAATTGGTAATTAACGAACTACACAGATAACACAGAATTTTGAAAGAAAGAAAAAGAAAGATAGCTCAGAAGGTTGCACAATTATTTCAAAGATTGTAAAAATCTCATAAGTCCAGACATATATATAAGCAACATCATCATCGCAATATAACCACTATAGAACCTATATCAATAGGTATAAAAAATTCGAAAATAGATTCAGAAACTCAGAGAAGCTACAAAGAGTAGCGATGGCAGACAATCTACACGGCATCAATTCAGACCGCCCGTCTGCTAATATCTCATCATTGATCTCTTTTAGATTAGCCATAATCGATTTTTTTCTAAACCAAAACCAAGAAAAAGACAATAACTGATGGCATCAGATAATAAGCGGAGATGTTTTGTCAACACTGTTAATCAGTGGTTAAGCATAAAATAATCAATTCTTCATTTGCCATCACACTAAACCTATATAAATTAAAACAATGAAATAAGAAAATTTAGGTCGATTCATTTGACGCCAAAGCTGCAGATATAGCAATGGGTTGGTAAGATAACCATATCGATATCAGCATCCGTTCTAGCTCCTCTACCATACTTATGTGATTTTTACTCACAAAAGTTAGAGGAGTGGGTAAATAAAATACAGATGCTTTCAGTATTCCTAATACAATCGAAAAACTAAACTAAGCAAGACAAAGATCAACAAAATAATCAATACTCGGACAAATTCAAGATACCAGAAGAGAAGGATGATAACTGCGGAGGAACAGATCGGTCTGTAGATTTTAAGATTTGAGAGATTAGTCACTAAGTTATATAGCGGTGATGGTTTTGTTTTCTCGGCAATCTAGGGTTTTGGTTTTTTATCGGGCTTACGACATTCTCTTATTGGGCTTTTGATTAAATATTTTGCCCATTTTGGTATGGTCCATGAGGATATAAATATTACCCAACTGAAAAAGAAATTACATCAAGTTTTGAAGTTGAGGCTGCGGCCCTGACTTTGGATATACGGCTGTAACCATCGCGAGTGACTCCATTCAGGTTGCAGTTTAGTCCTAGCTTGGACATGCATTGCATTCTTAAGTTTGTTTCCTTCTATCATATTTTACTTTCTTTTGCTTGAATGTTGTACCCAATTGTTGTAAGGAACCAAAAAAAAAATAAAAATACATTGGTTTTTGAGTATTGATATTAAAACTGTGATAATGACCATACTATATTTTTTACTAATGAAGATAATTCGTTTACACCCTCTCAAATCTCCCACGTCAACGTTACATATTTACTCCTTTTGTCACAAGGTAAATGTATACTTTTTTTCTTTTTGCCCGTTAAGAAACCTATTTAACAAATAAACAAAATAAAACATCTAGACAGAGAGACTAATGATCTCCACCGTAGCTAACTAATGATCATTGCATCATATCCGACGGTGGCAAAAAGCTCTCCAAACACAAGCCACAAATATTAAAATCCACCTCTTCAATCCGCCATTTCTCCTCTATTCGTCTCCGGTGATTAACTGCTCCCCCGTACCGATAAAGCGTCGTCACGGTTTGACCACCGTGAGCTATGTTCACGGCGTCAACGAATATGTAATCGTCGATGATTGACTCCATACTTGTCTCCCAGAAAACGCCGTCGCTCTTGCCTCTACCGGATTTGACTCTCACGAGTTTCGTGTCACCGAACTTTACTAGAAGTCCCGTCCGCTGGCTGAAATAACCCCACACCGTGTGGTGGATCACCTCCGTGTTCGGTGAGCACTGAGCCTTTAGAATATCTGACGGCGTCTCTAGCTTTAGCACGAAACAGTCTTCCCTGTTAACGGATTGTTCGCCGATGCAAACGGCGTCTAAGAACAGACTTGCCGTGCATCTCGGGTCTAGTCCCTGTCACGTCATTTCACAAATGAAAGTGTCAAATACAATGGTAATGTTACATACTTCGTATATTACTATATTATATGTTTTGGTTTATGTACGTATAGTAATGATCCAATACAAAGTATTAGAGTTTGAGATGTGTTACCTGAAAAAAACGGCGGAGAGGGCGAGGAGGGCCACGGTGAGCCTGAGAAGGTTGAGTAGATGATTGGTTCCAAGCCACCTTGCCGTCACTACCGGCGCTAATCTTGAAACCGGAAACCACTAGCTCTAAGAACCAAAGATTTGGATTCTTCTGCCATAAAACAAAACCTCCGACCTCGAAACAGCCTTTTCCTAGCCGCACCGGCGTAGTCGTTCCTTCGTCCTCCCCGGCAACCATCTCCGAGCCTTGCATCCTCACCTGCCCAACCGCATACATGCTCTTCACTGCGTTCAAAGCGGCTGGACCTCCGCATGCTGCCACGTACTGCTGCACTATGTATTTAGCCGTCGACGCCTCCTTCAAATTAATATATCATTACCAACGTTCCATAATATATTATAAACATCATTACTATCAACATTAACACATTATGTTTTTTTCCTTTCTACTTAGATGAAAAGGAAGTGACGAAATGTTATATGATGTAAATTGGAATTTTTGTTTAGTCGATTTGTAAAATGACTTTTTCATAAGAGACAAAAAAAAGTTTGTGTTCATCTTTATACATTCAATAGTATTATAATCGAAGATTGTAGTATTTTCGATATTTTAAACGTTAAGAGTAACCAACCACCACAGTTAAATATTAAAGAAGACTTATCAAAGATCATGACCTTATCTCACGTCAAAGATCTTTATACACGTGAATATTTCGTACGAGTTTAATTATATCGGTGATTCAAATGAAAGATAAACACACAAAAATCTTTGTCAAATCTATATCAAAACCTAAATATAATTAAGACACACAAGTATCACGGGTAGAGAGAAATCAATAAAAAAAAAAAAAAAATGTATGTTACGTACGATGGAAGTATCATTGATGGGCCGGTTGAGACAGAACTCGAGCGGGACGTGAAAAGGAATAAGAGGACTTCCAACGATCTTCAACAAGGCCACAAACTCGTTGTCTGATTTTGACTGCAAATGCATATTGACATTACTCATCGATGATGACGACGCCGGCGTTCTGATATCAGCCGCAACGGCGGTCACGACCGCGTGTGCCTTCATGAGAGTGTGCATATTCCTCCACCTCCCCGCCGCATTGCTTCCCATCTTCGCGAACATTTCTTCCGGCACCGGAACCTCTAACACCGTCTCTAACCCGTCTTCTCTGTCCAAATTTGGACAAAGCTTCCTCATTTTCATTTATATATTTTTTTAAAAAAGTTTTCGTTTTTTTCTTTTCTAGATGATCCGAGAGAAAGAGGGGATTAGGGTTTTCCTCTTTCTCCGAAATTTTATTAGGGGAGAGAGATCGATAGATTCTAGAGGATCATGAGAGGATTAACTACGGGGAAAAAAACTATTCTTGATTCTTTTGCTCAAATTTTCTGTTAGCCGGCTTTTATAACTAGGGTGCTCCTTGCTCGTAGCTATCGTGAGAACACGATTTCAGGAGGATCCATCTATATAATCTCTCTCTCTCTCTCTGTATTTATATACATATAATCTTAATTAGACTGATCTGATGTGACATATGCACGCATTTACACCTTACATGTATCTATAAACGTTGACGATAGATGTATATATATTAATTTTGCATACGAAATACGTTACATTGTGATCGTGTACTACATAAGTACATATATATACGTGGAAGACTTAATAGGGCTTGAGGAATCAGAGATCTAATATATATACTATCGGAGTGGTTAGGTGGGAGACCAAATGTGTACCGATCATTTTCTTAATTCGTAGTTAACTCTAGTTGTGATTCTATATTGTTATATTTGTTTTTTTCTGCTAGTCAGCAACATAAACTATACAAGTTTGAAGCTGTATACGCTATAAATCAAGAGAACAATATGTGTTAGTTCTAATATTATATCATCATTCGATCGAGTTCAACATTATCATTTGTTTATCCATATATATATATATATATATATATAATATGGTATTTGAATTAGAATTTCAAAACGGATTGATTCGTGAATCATAATGATATATAATATTTTGAAGAAAAATATCTGAATACTACATACAAATTGAACATATATTAGAAGGACATATGAAATGTATTTTGTAGCGTTATATTAGTGGTAGATCAAAGTATGATCGATGAGTTCATATATGAAGTACGAGATTTGAATATTCTTCAAATGCGTTTTTTTCATGTATATATGTGCTTGTGTTATAACTTATAAGTAGATAAGTATAATGTAGTAGAAGTGTGGAATCATTTGTTGCAATTCCCCTCGTCCGACCTTATGTGTTGCACAATGCACTTGCATGAAGAATTGTATACTGTGAAATTTTCCGTGCAACCAATATCTCAAAAAATCATATTGAAGTACTTATTATTATTATTATTATTCTGTTACAAAAAAAAAAGTACTTATTATTAGGGATAGAACAGGTTATTGGCCCAATAAAAGAAGTTTAGGCCCAAGAACAAAAACGTCCACGTAGCTTAGGCTTGAATTCACATTGGCCTAATAAAAGAAGTTTAGGCCCAAGAACAAAAAAGTCCACGTAGCTTAGGCTTGAATTCACATTGGCCTAGTTGGCTAGTCACATTGTTTTCTTTTTATAATAGAAGATTAAATTGGCTCCACCAGAGCGGAGAAAGCTCACCTTTTTGTTTTGTTTTTGGGAATTATTAATAGAGGCGCCAATATTCGAATTGTTTGGCGCGTAATTTCCCAAAGCGATTATTCATTTTCGCCCTTTTTTTCACGTTGATTAATTATTCTTCATCGAAACGAACATACAGAACAGAACTATTGGGTACCATCTAATTCTGGCCGGAGAATACAATCGGAGATGATGAGCGACGAGCAGCTTTCTCCTATCGGAGAATCGAGTGTCCCAGTTCCAAATAGGATGCTTAGGCGATTGAAGAAGGCTAAATCGATTTCCGATTTATGTCCTGGATCTGAAACCCTCGATTTCGAAAGTTCCGACGGTGATGATTTAGGGAAGCTTTATTTATCGCAGTCTGAGAAGGGTTTCGATGGGTTTGAAGAAGAAGATGGGCTACGATCTGATAACGAGGGTTTGGGTGTGGAGGATGGAGTCACCGCGAAAAAGGTACTCGGTTTTGATTCAGTGTCTGAGTTTAACCAGCCGATTGAAGATCTGGGTGAGAAAGGTGAAGAAGACGAAATCTCTGATTTGAAGACAAGTGCGGAAACTAGGGTTTCCGAAACGACGGAGGATGGGCCAGTTAGTGCGCCGGAGTTTGACTCCCCAATCGAGGAATCGGGCGAGAAAGGTGAAGACGAGATCTGTGATTTGGAATCACAAGAGGAATTTAAGGATTCGGAAACGAAGGAAGCTGGAAAGAAGCGACAAGTTCCGGAGACAAGTGAGAACAAGAGAGATAAGAAAAGGAACAAGAAGAGTGATGACTTTGATGAGCTGCCAATTTCTACTGCTTCCATGAACATGACTAAGAAGGTAACTCTCTATTTCTTAGTTGAATTTATTTTGAGCTTACTCTGCAATGCTCGATTGTTTGTTTCCTTCTCCAGAGTTTAATTGGTGTTACTGTTTTTTCTTCGTCTGTAGGAAAGAAGAGAATATCTTGACCAGCTTCGTGCAGAAAACCAGAGACTTTTGCGAGGTATGATAGTCCCAAAAGCACTTTTCAGTATTCAATGCAACGTTTTGCAGGGAACTGACATAATTGTCTTTGGCTTGGTGTTGGGTTGTGTTGCGCTTTTTATGATAGAAACTAGAGATGCTGCCTTTGAACCCGCCCCTCTTGTCCGGAAGCCGATTTCATCCGTGTTGGAGAAAATTAGGCGACGGAAAGAGGAGATTTCAAAACAGTGAGTTTTCATCTACTCTCATTAGTCTTAACTAGTTCCCTACTATGACTTCTATTCTTAGTAACAGTGTTATCATTTATGCTGTTGGCAGATTCATTAGCAGGAAGAAATCCAAATCTAATGACATATGCGACCAGGATGATTTTGAGGAAGTTGTAGCCGAAGATAAGAATGAAGGTATGAACTTAGACAGTACAAGCAATCAGCACCCTGGAAGACAGCATTGCTCCGAGGACTCTGCAGGTCCATCGGGGAACTTAAACAGTCCATCTAACAAAAGAGCTGATAATGACCCTACTCATCAGGTGAGTCATCTCGTGTTTTGACACAATCCGGAAGTTAATTTAATTTTTGATTTTGAGGTCTGTAATCATAGTTCTGAGCGATATTTGAAGGCCCCTCCAGACCTAGTACTAAGTTCAAGCATTTGAGGATCTGAACTGTAATTATACATACCTGCATATCCATTATATTTTGTGAACTCCACCTGCATGATAATTTGAGCAGCACATATTGTTTCCAGGTTACAAATGCTAAGTTTACAGGTTCAAAGGCTAGTTTGTATAATTAAAATAAAAATGAATCTCTCAATTCGTTTTTTTTTTGGTTAGGATCCCTCCTTGCGTCCACAAATGAATAACTCTGGAGATGAACTTCTAGAGAAGATGTCAAGCAGACCTTTGGAAGAAGTAATGACACCTTCGGTAGTTGCCATGAACCTCAAACTAAATTTGTCTCCTCTGCCTGAGAAGTGAGTTTATCTTTTGATGTGGTTACATGCAGAAATATAATTAGCTAGAACATTGACATGCTCGTCTATCTAATATCTGAAAGCCTCAGATAACGCAATCTTCATGTTAATAATATTTTATGGACAAATGTTAGTTTCAGTACATGAATAGCTTGTGTCTGTGCCAGTTATTTATGTAGAGCTCAGTTATATTGTGTACACTTAGGCTTACTTTCTCTGCAATAACTAATTTACATCTGCAGATCTTCTAAAGAAGCAGAATACATGAAGGAAAATTCTGATTCTGAGACCAATGATGATTCATCTCCTGGTGACCCTGTTAGAAAATTTATTGATGAGGATGCTGAAGAGGAAGATGACAGCGACAATGATTTACTCCGATTTGAGGATGAGGATGATGACGAAGATGAAGAAGATGATGATCTCAGGGATATGATTGTCAGTCAATTTAAGGAAGATCCAACTGATAAAGATAGACGTAATGAACTGCATCAGAAGTGGCTCGAGCAACAAGATGCTGCAGGGACAGAGAAACTCTTACAGAAGCTAAAACGTGGTCTGCAGCAGGATGAAACATTATTATCTGAGGATGAAGTTGATGATGACGATGATGAAGAGAGGGCTGAAGATGCTGATGATGAAGAAGTGCAAAAACCTGAAGCCAATGAAGATGAAAACGAAGATGAAGAAGATCCGAGTCATGCAAATTCCATGCGAATGACCATAAAGAAAATAAAGGAAATGATCCCCTTAATGTTTACAGATGTAGATGATGTTTATGTGTCATCCGACGATGAGGAAATGGAAAAGAAGCTTATGCAACAGCGATTACACAGGAAAATGGTAGGTGATCCCGGTTCAGTAGTTCTGTATGGTCCATATTTTATCAATTGATCCACCATTTGAAAAGCTTGTTTGATTTTATGCCTGTGCTACCCCATTAATCTCGATTATTGTTGTTTGGAACAGGAGCTAAAGGCCAAGTCTTCATCATCTATTGGGGATGAAAACTCTGAGGAAATTCTTCGCCACATCAAGAAGCCTGAGATCAAGAAGAAAGAAAAACCTTCTTGTAAGATAACTCGCAAGTTTTTCCTCTATCTGTAATCAGCTGAGGTTATACATATTGCTGATTGGTTATAACTATTCTGTTTGAATTGTTTTCAGCTTATAAAGAGAGGGCACTCATGGGAATGAACAAAAACCCTGCAGCATCCAAGGTATAAGCCTACTTCAGTTTCTTTGACATACAAATGAAGTACGTAGTAAAGTCACTTTTTAAGACTTGTTAGAAACAGGATAAGGAATTGCAGCTTTACTCATGCCCTGAATATTTTGCAGTCATCATTCTTGGGTAGACTTACAAAGAGTTCCGTATCAGAAGGATCTCGCAAGCGCGGTTTAAATGTTGTACGTGGCTATATATTTGAACGTGATGACAGTAACGGCAAAAGCTCAAACTCAGTGCCAGAGGAACCTTCAGTTCCGGAAACGGTATAGCTCTCCCTCTCTCTATAAAACACATATCATCCCATAGAGTTTTCTGGTACAGACATTAATGTCTTCGTCACAACATTTGCAGATTATTCAAGAAAAGAGCAAACCAAAAAGAGCTCCGGCAAAATTCACTGCCTCACAGTCACAAGAAAGATCAGCAACATTACAGGAGACGACGGTGGTGAAGGAGACAAGCACGAGGCAACGAGCAACCTTATACGAGATTCTAAAGATGTCTTCAAAGAAAACTTGCTTCAATTCACACGAGACAGTGATAAGCAGGAGCCACACTGAATCTATATTTGCTGCTTTCAAATTGGATAAAAAAACAGTGAAGACGAATCCACAAGTAAACACCCTCTCCCTCTAATTATAGATGTTTTCTTGTGAAATCAAATTCTCCATTTTTCCATCCAAACGTAATCATACATTATGTTTTAAACCGTTTTTTAATATAACGAATATTTAACAGGAGAAGAGATGAAATCAGTTAAAACAAAAGGTAAAGACAACAGTTGCAGTGTATTGTGGAGGAGGAATTCAGACACTGCTATGATAAAACAGCACGTGTGGTGAACGTGAATCAATGAATGGGATCGTGTAGCTTTTTGTTTGTGTGTGGCCACCACCAAAACGGCGTAGGACCGCGCGTTTTGGCATTAACCTGATCAGATTCAGTGTCGATTCTCAAGTACATAGGTTTGTCGTTGCTAAAACTACAGAGATTTTTTTTTTTTGTGGGAGATTAGATCGTCCATCGTAGTCATTCGAATCGAATTATTTTCGAAAGTTTTGTTTTATATATTCAATGTTTAACAGTACACTGTTTCTTTGAAATGGATGCAAGTTATTCAAGAATTTTTCAACTAACAACATCTATAAATAATTAATCCTTTTATTTTCTCATAATCGCAAACAGTTTTTATCACATGTTGTATTATACTCGATAAATATCTTAACCTGTTGGCATTAAAATAAAAAAAATTGACCTTTCTTTGTTCCCAAAAATAATAAAAATCTAAAATTTTTTATATCTTTATAATTTTTTATTTGGCTTCTTGAGCTTCGGTGAGACTGAAGAAGAGCAGAGAGAGTCTCGGACACAAAAGATCTAAAAACCGGACAATTTCTATTTTAGTATTCTTGCCTCAACGTTGTTTGACTTGTAAAAGAAAATTTCAGATAGATTCCGACCGGATAAATCGTCGTCCTTGCAGATCCGAATCCTCCCTCTCCTATAGATCTACATAAAATGGCGGGTACTTACTGATTTCAGAAGAAAAAAGGACCCTTTGATGCCCACTTTAATGGCGGATTCTCGAAAAGGCAAGCCCTTTTTCTTCTGCTTCTCCTTCTTTGTTTCGCTTAGTTTGCTTTTCCTTTTGCCGTCTTTTCCGGATGCATCTACTGCTGTCACCGCTTCCGAGTCCGATCCGATTTTGTCAGAGAGAACAGATGCTTCTCCCGGAGTTGTGACCATCAGCGAATCCGATAGTCAAAGTGTTTCGTTGCATAGACTCGAGGAACTTGTTAGGAATCTTACGGAAGTAGTTGCTAGGTTAGATGCCAAATTATCTGAAGCTCCGTTTAAGGTAAAGAAGGAGATCAGTCGTGATGAGATCGAAGAAGAAGGGGTTAGAGAGAAAGCCAAGGCTTTTTCCGTGACAAAATACAGTCCTTTCTGGTCTGAGAGATTCGAATTCACATCAGCTGTGAAATTAGACTCCGACGCGACTTGTATCAACGTGTTGCCGTTTCGAGATTACCAAGGTTTAAGCAAGTATTTCGCAGTTGGGGATGCAAGTGGTAGGGTTTTTGTGTTCTTGAGAAATGGGGATGTTTTGGTTGAGTTTTTCACTACCTGCGATTCACCAATCACGGCAATGGTGTCATACATGTCTGTGTATAAGAACGAGAGCTTCGTAGTGACGGGTCACCAGAGCGGAGTCATCTTGTTGCATAGACTCCGCGAGGGCTCTATCGGGGAAGATTGGAGTTCAGCTGTGATGGAAAATATTGGCAAATTTGATGGCACGGATGACGGATTGCAAGTGACTCTATTGGAAGTGCATCATGTGGGTCGGGTTAGGTATATATTGGCTACGGATCTTAGCGGAAAGCTCACTGTTTTCACTGAGAACAGAACTGTTTATGGCTCCGTTACCCCATCTAGTAGACCGCTTGTGTTCTTGAAGCAGAGGCTGTTGTTTCTCACTGAGACTGGTGCTGGTTCATTGGACTTAAGAAGCATGAAGATCAAAGAATCCGAGTGTGAAGGTTTGAACCATTCTCTAGCGAGAAGTTATGTTTTTGATGCGTCAGAACGGTCTAAAGCTTACGGATTCACATCCGAAGGCGAAATCATTCACGTATTGCTCCTAGGAGACATCATGAACTTCAAATGTAGAGTGAGATCAAAGAAAAAGGTTCAAATGGAGGATCCTGTAGCGTTGCAAGCCATCAAAGGCTATCTACTTGTAGTCAACCAAGAGAAAGTCTTTGTATACAATGTGTCGACTCAACACTATGTTCGAACCACGGGTCCTCGGCTTCTTTTTCCCGCTGCATTGGAAGACATCAGGTCAACATTCTTGAGCCATCGAGAATCATCGAAAACCACCTATCACCAGAAGCTCGAAAAGGCAACTCCGTTGATAGCAAGCGACCGTGAAAAGCTGCTTGTGATGGGTTTAGGAGATGGATACGTCGCGACATACAAATCAAAGCTTCCAATCTTCAAAGCGGAATTCAACACGATGCTTTGGAGCAGTCCTGTCTTCTTCTTCATACTTTTCTTATTTGGCGCTTGGCATTTTTTTGCCAAGAAGAAAGAATCTCTCACAGCTTGGGGACCTGACGATCCTTTCGCCTCAACAACAATGTCTTCTTCTTCTACTACAACTGCACAAAACAGTTCCGCATTCGCTGAACCAATCAGGAGAAACGACGACCACATGGATCTTCGAAGAAGGTATGTTTCGCCATCTCGGTATCCTCCTGGACCAGCAACAGGAGCTTACCGTTCAGTGGGTTCTAACGACCCGAGCTCAAGAGCTCCAGTGGAAACAACTAACTACAGAACAACCGCACAGGAAATGAAGTATCGTGGTGGGTCAGGTCTTGATTCAGCTGGGTTTGGTAAAAGAAGAGAGAGCTTGTTTGGTAACAACAACAAAGCTTCAGACGACGAAAGTTAGCTCCTTTTCTATTAACCGTCGCCGTTTTTTTCATAGTTCGTTATGTTCTTTTCTACCGGTCAAAGCTTGACTTTTTTGTAATGTGTAAAACTCCGGCGAAGAAATAATTTTTTTACCGGTAGCTTTGTTTCTCCGGTCACATCGTAACTTAAATTGTATTGTAATCTTCTCGTGGAAATCTCTAGAATCAAGATCAGATTAAAAATTGTTTTTTTTTTTTTTCTTCTTTACCATATATTATTATAATTTCAAGATCCAATAAATGAAGTTGAACCAGAGAGACTTGAAGATAACTAGTAAGTCAAAAATATGGCAGTGTTCTTCATCGTCTTGGTAGTTTTCTTCTTTCTTGTCTTCGGATTCATCTACAGTTATCTATGGGTTCCTTGGAGAATCCAATCTCACTTCAAAAAGCAGAGCGTGACGGGTCCTCGTTACCGGATATTCACCGGAAACTCTGGCGAGGTGAGCCGATTAACGGCGGAGGCTAAAGCAAAGCCGATTCCTTCTGGAAACAATCCTCATGAGTTCGTCCACCGTGTGGCGCCTCACTACTACGAGTGGTCACGTGCCTACGGGAAGACGTTTCTATATTGGTTCGGGTCGAAACCGGTGGTGGCAACGTCGGATCCGAGACTAATCCGGGAAGCTTTGACGACGGGTGGGTCGTTTGATCGAATCGGGCATAACCCTTTGTCTAAGCTGCTTTATGCTCAGGGTCTTCCTGGTCTTAGAGGCGACCAATGGGCTTTCCATAGAAGAATCGCCAAACAAGCTTTTACAATGGAGAAACTCAAGGTACAACACACATCAATGTAGATGCTATGCTCTGTAATTCAGACAATATAGTGCCAGTCTAGTTTAGTTTGTGCTATTTGGATTCTGAGTCTAGTTTAGCTTAAAGTTACCAAACACAAAACTTTATAGTATTGTGGCTAAAGCTGCGATCGTCTTAACAGAGGTGGGTGCCACAAATGGTGACAAGTAGTATGACGTATCTGGAGAAATGGGAGGTGATGAGAAATGGAGAAGAAGAGATTGAGTTAGACGTACACAAAGAGATGCACAATTTGTCTGCAGATATGTTATCAAGAACAGCTTTTGGGAACAGCGTGGAGGAAGGGAAAGAAATCTTTGCGCTGCAGGAGCGTATGATGCGTCTTTTTTATCTCGTTCGATGGAGCGTTTATATCCCCGGCTACAGGTAAGTCTTATGGGAAATCTTCCTAGTTTAGAGAACAAGTTTGGAACAAGAACCTTAATGCTCATTTTCGAATGCTGTTTTTAGATTCTTTCCTTCGAAGACTAATAAAGAGATATGGAGGGTCGAGAAACAAATCCGTGGTTCTATCCTAAAACTGATCGAAAGCAACAAAACAACAGCTTTTGAGAAATCAGGAACTCTGCTTCAGGCCTTTATGTCTTCTTACACGAATCAGAATGGTCAAGAAGAGAAGCTTGGGATTGAAGAGGTTATAGATGAATGCAAAACCTTCTACTTTGCAGCTAAGGAAACAACTGCCAACCTTCTGACGTTTCTTTTAGTCCTTTTAGCTATGCACCAAGAATGGCAAAACATTGCTCGGGAAGAAGTTATACGCGTGCTTGGATCAACCGGGATTCCTACTGTAGACGTCTTACAAGACCTCAAGACTGTACGTCCTTAAATCCCCAACTTAAGTATGGTTTTAAGAGACATTGATTCTTAACTACCATATTTTTTTAATTTTGTCTTTGCTAACAGTTAAGTATGATAATCAACGAGACTCTCCGGCTCTACCCTCCAGCAATGACACTAAACCGTGACACTCTTAGGAGAGCTAATCTCGGAAACCTTGACGTTCCTGCAGGGACTCAGATCTCTTTATCAGTGGTCGCGATGCACCACGACACAGAAACATGGGGATCCGACGCAGAAGAGTTTAATCCGCGTAGGTTTGAAGATCCTAAGAAACAATCAGCTCTGCTTGTGCCGTTTGGATTAGGGCCTAGGACTTGTGTGGGACAGAATCTTGCTGTGAATGAGACCAAAACTGTTCTGGCTACGATCTTGAAGCATTACAGTTTCAGGTTGTCTCCAAGTTATGCTCATGCTCCGGTTTTGTTTGTGACCTTGCAGCCTCAGAATGGTGCTCATCTTCTCTTTACTAGGATTTCCAGTTAATAACTACCAAAATAGGTTGGTAGTGTGATTTAAGGTTGTTTAACGTTGGGTTTTGGTATTGTTTTCCACCCTTGAATGAAAAGGCTAATATGGTCATTGCAAACGATTATTATTCCCTTATATTATCGACCCATTTATCTTCTTCGTCTAAGCGGCACCCATAAACTCTAAATGTGTTTAAATTTTTTAACATTAATGAAATGAAATCATGAGAGTCAAATGAGAATTGAGTCAAATGAGTTTAGTCAACTCATTACCCATTTAACTCTAATGAGTTGACTTGAGTTGCTTACTCATTTTGGCACCCTTACCTTTGACCAAGAACAATGCCAGTAGTCAGTACAATCAAAGACAAAATAAACTGTTAAGAACATTAAGGAAGCCAACCAAATACCAATGGTTATATAAGATTAATTTGCACAACCAGGTTTTGATCACAGAAAAAGTATATCAATTTGGCTACTGCATCTTCTCTTTTTCTTTTGGAGGGAGCCAAATGGCAATGTCCGGTCGTAGAGACATAATCCAACAAGTTCACGAATGTGGAATTGCAATTGCTATCCTGGTCGGAATTGTTATCGGGTGCGTCTGCACTATCTTGTTACCAAACGATTTCTTCAACTCTGGCCCATCGAAGGTAAACTTAGATCTTATACTTTATAAATCACATACAATCATTTTTTTTTGGTTGGAAATTATGTGTTCTATAGTTCTTGAGTTGTGATCTGAATTATACTTTGGAAGTTAGCAATATAGCATTTAGTTGATTTTTATGAGGAACGTTGAAATCCCTTTCATGGTGTTTTGTTAGTTGGCAATTATGATTCAAAATGTTGGTGAACAAGGATTGAATACTATAGACGAATTTAGAACTATATTTGGCATGAGATGGCTTAATTAAAAAATTTGGGAATTGAATTTAAGGCACTTAGTGAGTTCGTTTGTTTTGTGGATTCATAATCTGCATCGCTTTTCTTGAGTAAGAAGAATTACATATTGCATGTTTAATCATCATCATGTATCTAACTAAAGACTGAATCTCTTTGACATTACAAACAAAGTTTAAATGGTCCTCCTTTCTCTCTTTATCTTTTTAGGTTGGACTGGCTTCATGTGGATCAGAATTTGCAGTTATCTCTGAAAAGAATGCCGAGTTAAGGAAGCAGGTCAGAGAGTTAACTGAAAAGGTACGGTTGGCGGAACAAATAACAGAGATCAAGGCCGGATCTTTTGGCACTGTCACGGGTCTGAGAACTAATCCGACTGTGGTTCCGGACAAGTCTGTTAACCCCAGGTTAGCTAAGCTTTTAGAGAAGGTAGCTGTTAATAAAGAGATCATTGTGGTTCTTGCAAATTCAAATGTGAAACCAATGTTGGAGGTGCAGATTACTAGCGTCAAGAGAGTTGGTATCCAGAACTACCTCATTGTCGCGTTGGATGATTCCATAGAAGGCGTCTGCAAATCGAATGAAGTTGCATATTACAAGAGAGATCCAGATGAAGCTGTGGATGAGGCTGGGAAAAGTGAAAATGGTGCAATCGTGTCTGGACTAAAATTCCTCGTCTTACGGGATTTTTTGCAGCTTGGTTATGGTGTTATTCTATCTGATGTCGACGTTGTATTCTTGCAAAACCCTTTTAATCATCTGTACAGAGACTCAGATGTGGAGTGTATGAGCGATGGCCATGACAATGACACGGCTTATGGCTTCAACGAGTTGTTTGATGACCCATCCATGACCCGGTCTCGAATTGTCTACACAAATAGGATATGGGTTTTTAATTCCGGGTTTTTCTATCTAAGACCAACGCTTCCTTCAATCGAGCTACTAGATCGCGTGAGAGATACACTCTACAAGTCAGGGGGATGGGACCAAGCAATTTTCAATGAGCATCTCTTTTACCCTTCGCATCCCGGATACATTGGCTTAGACGCTTCCAAGAGAGTCATGGACATATACGAATTCATGAACAGTAGGGTCCTCTTCAAAACGGTGAGAAAGAATGAGGAACTGAAGAAGTTGAAGCCGGTGATTATTCATATGAATTACCATGGAGATAAACTCGAACGAATGCAAGCTGTAATGGACTTTTACGTTAATGGCAAGGAAGATGCGCTTGATAGCTTCCCAGATGGTACTGCTAGATAAGCAAGATATCTGATTTCAGGGCGGGAGTGATCATTACTATGAATAATATATTTATAGTTTATGTAATGACTTTAGATAAGATAGTAGAAGAAAAAAACTTTAGTAAATGATAATATAATGAATTTTGATACACTAATCGGAAAAATAAAAACAATATAAATTTTAACAGCGGAAATGAATATTTATGGATATATAATTTAGTTTAACTATTTTTGTAGTAGAAGTAGGAATAGTAGCCACATTGTATATGTTTGAAAATTTTAAATAAATCTGTATTTCTATCCTAAAACTGATCGAAAGCAACAACAATTGAGAAATCAGGAACTCTGCTTCAGACCTTTATGTCTTCTTACACGAATCAGAATGGTCAAGAAGAGAAGCTTGGAATTGAAGAAGTTATAGATGAGTGCAAGACCTTCTACTTTGCAGCTAAGGAAACAACTGGCAACCTTTTGACGTTTGTTTTAGTCCTTTTAGCTATGCACCAAGAATGGCAAAACATTGCTCGAGGAGGAGATATACGCGTGCTCGGACCAACCGGGATTCCTACTTTAGACGTTTTACAAGACCTCAAGATTATACGTCCTTATTCCCCAACTTAAGTATGGTTTTAAGAGACATTGATTCTTAACTATACCATATTCTTTTAATTTTGTCTTTGCTAAGAGTTATGTATGGATACTCAACGAGACTCTCCGGCTCTACCCTCTAGCAATGACACTAAACTGTGACACACTGACACTCTTAGGAGAGCTAATCTCGGAAACCTTGACATTCCTGCAGGGACTCAGATCTATTTATCAGTGGTCGCGATGCACCACGACACAAAAACATGGGGAAACGACGCAGAAGAGTTTAATCCGCACATATTTGAAGATTCTAAGAAACAATCAACTCTGCGTGTGCCGTTTGGGTTAGGGCCAAAGACTTGTGTGGGACAGAATCTTGCTGTGAATGAGACCAAAACTGTTATGGCTACGATCTTGAAGCATTACAGTTTCAAGTTGTCTCCAAGTTATGCTCATGCTCCGGTTTTGTTTGTGACCTTGCAGCCTCAGAATGATGCTCATCTTCTCTTTACTAGGATTTCCAGTTAATAACTACCAAAATTGGTTGGTAGTGTGATTTCCGGTTTGATCTGGTTTAGGTGTGATTTAATTGTTAGCATTGTCATTGCTAATGATTATTATTATATTATCTACCCATTATCTTCTTTCTAAGACGAAGTCTCTGTAACTCCCTAAATCGCCACCGATTCTGTGATCATATATTGGGCGGGAGGAAAACTGATATTTTTCTCCTTTGAATGTATTCCTCTTCATAATCTGCGATATACTATAAATTTAAAAAGTTGGATAGGTCAGAAAAGCATCAACGAAAACACGCACTCTAGGTGTTCGACGAAATCCCTCAGAGAGATAATAACCCTATAGGAGATGCCACTAGAACCGATTCGATTCTTGAGAACCAGCGCTGGCGTCATTGTTGGTGGTTTTGTGGTCATTAGCGCTGTTTCCTCAGCAGCTATAGGAGCATTTCGATATACAACTGAAGAGAAACGGAAGAAAAGAGGATTGGCTTGTAGAGCTTGTCGTGGAAAAGGTTTTTTCATATGCAAATTGTGCAAAGGAGACGCAACGATTAAATGGTCACCATTGTACGATCCGGTTTGTATCAATCCATGCCTTTGCCCTACTTGCGATGGTCACAGGTTTTGTTGTTGTTTCTTTTTCTCCTTCACATTGCAGCGATTGTTTTTCTAGACTTCAAATTTTGAACCTTTTTTTTTTTGTTTTTGTTTTAAAAACATTGCAGGGTACAACGATGTCTCAACTGCTTAGGAAAGGCCTACTGTTAGACTCTTTAGGCTTTATGATTTGATCATCTTTCTGCTTTTGTAACCTCTGGTTTTTAAGCGTCAAAAACAGTCCTGCTTTTTAGAATCGTAATAAATTTGGTTGTGCTGAGTTAGGCGATTCTGCCTAAACCTCTCTACCTAGTTAGACGTTAGATGGACCGTTCTTTCTCTTTCAGTATGGCATTTTAATACGACCTTTGACCAAGAGCAATGTCAGTAGTTCAGTATAGTCAAGACTAGACGATAAATAAGTTGTTAAGAACATTAAGGAAGCCAACCAAATACCAATGGTTATATAAGATTAACTTGCACAACCAGGTTTTGATCACAAAAGAAAGAAAAGAGTTTATCAATTTGGCTACTGCATCTTCTCTTTTTCTTTTGAGGGAGCCAAATGGCAACGGCCGCTCGTAGAGACAGAATCCAACAAGTTCACGAATGTGGAATTGCAATTGCCATCCTGGTCGGAATTGTTATCGGGTGCGTCTGCACTATCTTGTTACCAAACGATTTCTTCAACTCTGGATCATCGAAGGTAAACTTAGATCTTATACTATATAAATCACGTACAGTCATTTTTTTTTTGGAAATTCTGTGTTCTGAATTATACTCTGGAAGCTAGCAATATAGCAGTGAGTTGATTTTTATGGGGAATGCTGGAATCCTTTTCATGGTGTTTTGTTAGTTGGCAATTATGATTGAAATTGGTGAATAAGGTTTGAATACTATAGCTGAACTATAGTTGGCTGGATATGGTTTTGAAGATTTGGGAATTGAATTTAAGTCACTTAGTGAGTTCGTTTGTTTTGCGGATTCATAATCTGCATCGCTTTTCTGACTAAGAAGAATTACATAATACATGTTTAGCCATCATCATCTTGGATCTAACTCAAGACTGAATCTTTTTGACATTACAAATAAAGTTTAAATGGTCATCCTTTCTCTGTTTATTTTTTCAGTCTGGATTGGCTTCATGTGGATCAGAATTTGCAGTTATCTCTGAAAAGAATGCCGAGTTAAGGAAGCAGGTCAGAGAGTTAACAGAAAAGGTACGGTTGGCGGAACAATTAACAGAGATCAAGGCTGGACCTTTCGGCACTGTCACGGGTGTGAGAACTAATCCAACTGTGGTTCCGGATGAGTCTGTTAACCCCAGATTAGCTAAGCTTTTAGAGAAAGTAGCTGTAAACAAAGAAGTCATTGTAGTTATTGCAAATTCACATATGAAACCAATGTTGGAGGTGCAGATTGCTAGCGTAAAGAGAGTTGGTATTCAAAACTATATGGTTGTCCCGTTGGATGATTCTATAGAAGGCGTCTGCAAATTGAATGAAGTTGCATATTACAAGAGAGATCCAGATAAAGAGGTGGATGAGGCTGGGAAAAGTGGAAGTGGTCCGGTCGTATCTGGACTGAAATTCCTCGTCTTACGGGATTTTTTGCAGCTTGGTTATGGTGTTATTCTATCAGATGTCGACATTGTATTCTTGCAAAACCCTTTTCATCATCTGTACAGAGACTCAGATGTGGAGTGCATGAGCGATGGCCATGACAATAACACGGCTTATGGCTTCAACGAGTTGTTTGATGACCCATCCATGACCCGGTCTCGAATTGTCTTCACAAATAGGATATGGGTTTTTAATTCCGGGTTTTTCTATCTAAGACCAACGCTTCCTTCAATCGAGCTACTAGATCGCGTGAGAGATACACTCTATAAATCAGGGGGATGGGACCAAGCAATTTTCAATGAGCATCTCTTTTACCCTTCGCATCCCGGATACATTGGCTTAGACGCTTCCAAGAGAGTCATGGATATATACGAGTTCATGAACAGTAGGGTCCTCTTCAAAACGGTGAGAAAGAATGAGGAACTGAAGAAGTTGAAGCCGGTGATTGTTCATATGAATTACCATGGAGATAAACTCGAACGAATGCAAGCTGCAGTGGAGTTCTACGTTAATGGCAAGCAAGATGCGCTTGACAGCTTCCCAGATGGTACTGCTAGGTAAGCAAGATATCTGATAGAGAGGTTCTGATAGAGAGGTTACTGAACCACTTGACTTCGAAAGATTTAAAAATAACTTCTTTATTTCTGTGTCAACATGTTATGTGTATTTGACTTTTATGAAGGACAACCTCAGCAGCGAAAGATTTAATTATTTGATATTGCATAAATTATTTCAATCAAATGGACTACTAATATACTATTAAACAAACATCAATGAATAAATCATAAAGAAAAATAATGAAGGATCCATAAATACAATAAACATGCACAGCTACGCAAGTGGTCATCAATTTTGGCTACGGCTGGTATTACGGCAATGGATTTCATAAGATGTTTTGTTACTGAAGTTTGAATACTAAAACCGAATTTACAACTATATTTGGCGGGAGATGGAACTGATGGGGACGAACAAGCCCACAAATATATTTTGGGGTTTTTCTTTGGACTTCTCTTACATATTTTACGTTAAACAAAACCTCTTATACCTTTAACCTTTAAAAATGCTGACAAAGATCCTTCTTTAATACAAAATAAATATGAAGTTTGGTTTTAGGTGGATTCAGCGAATTTTGCCTAACTTTTACATAAGTGATCAATCAAGTCCACGCTTCATAGACTCTTTGTAGTATAGAGTTATTTTTCCCAACCAAGGACAACTTCAGCAGCCACATTTATAAATCAGAATATATTAGAAAAAAATGAATTATTTGATTTTCCATAAATCAGAAAATATTAAATAAATCTAAATAATCTAGTGAAATGGATTATAGAACAGATTATTTTTTGTCAACTGGATTAAGAACAGATTATTAAATCAAGGAATCATAATAAAAAAATAATACTACATAAGGAAATACAAAGCAATGGTGAAAGAGGCTTTTGACCCCAAAGATTAAACGCCCACTTTGACCCCAAAGAAATAGAAAAGAAAAATTAAACGTCCACAGATACAGTTTGATCACGAAGGGTTTATCAATGTTGGCTACGGGAGTCTCTTCGGCAATGGCGGGTCGTAGAGACAGAATCCAACAGCACCGTGGATATCGAATTACAATCGCCATCGTTGTCGGAATTCTTATCGGCTGTGTCTGTGCCTTCGTGTTCCCCAACGGGTTCTTTAACTCGGGGTCATCGTTGCTAGTTAACGAACGTCTTTCGAAATCGAACTCTAAGGTACTCTTATCTTATGCCCTTTTTAACATGTACACTCATTTTTCCTTTTGAAAACTCTCTGTCTTCTTGAGCTCTCAATCTGTAATCCAAATTAGAGGCATTTAGTTGATTTTATATGGTGAATGTGTTTCTTTCACATAGTGCTGTGTTTGCTGTAATTTATTACGGTTCGAATAAATTTGTCTTTGCAGATTTGAGTCTATGGCTTAATTCGATTGTTTTGATCGATTTTTTAATAGGAATACAGATTGCATGATTTGGTCATCACTGTTTCAATCTTCAACATTTGAGTTTCATCCTTTTCTGTTAATTCCAATCGTTTCAGGTTGGATTGGCTTCATGTGAATCGTCTGAACGTGTCAAAATGCTCAAATCAGAATTTTCAGTCGTCTCGGTAAAGAACGCAGAGTTGAAGAAGCAGGTCAAGGAGCTAACAGAAAAGGTACGGTTGGCTGAACAAGAAACAGAGAATGCAAGGAATCAAGTTTTGGTTTTGGGATCACAAATCAAGGCAGGGCCTTTTGGCACTGTCAAGAGTTTGAGAACTAATCCAACTGTAGTTCCCGACGAGTCTGTTAACCCCAGGTTAGCTAAGCTTTTAGAGAAGGTAGCTGTTAGTAAAGAGATCATTGTGGTTCTTGCAAATTCAAATGTGAAACCAATGTTGGAGGTGCAGATTACTAGCGTCAAGAGAGTTGGTATCCAGAACTACCTCATTGTCGCGTTGGATGATTCTATAGTAGATTTCTGTAAATCAAAGGAGGTTGCATATTACAAGAGAGATCCAGATAAAGCCGTGGACATGGTTGGGAAAAGCGGAGGTAACCACGCTGTTTCCAGGCTGAAGTTCCGCGTCTTAAGAGAGTTCTTGCAGCTCGGTTATGGAGTTCTTCTATCGGATGTGGACATTGTCTTTTTGCAGAACCCTTTTGGTCATCTGTACAGAGACTCTGATGTGGAGTCTATGAGCGATGGCCATGACAATAACACGGCTTACGGCTTCAACCATGTGTTTGATGACCCATCCATGGGATGGTCTAGGTCTGCTCACACAATGAGGATATGGGTATTCAATTCCGGGTTTTTCTATCTAAGACCAACTCTTCCTTCGATCGACCTACTCGATCGTGTGGCAGATACAATCTCTAAGACAGGGGAATGGGACCAAGCTGTTTTCAATGAACAACTGTTTTACCCTTCGCATCCCGGATACACTGGCTTACACGCTTCCAAAAGAGTCATGGATATGTACGAATTCATGAACAGTAAAGTCCTGTTCAAAACGGTGAGAAAGAATGAGGAACTAAAGAAGTTGAAGCCAGTGATTGTTCACCTGAATTACCATCCGGATAAACTCGAACGAATGCAAGCAGTGGTGGAGTTCTACGTTGATGGCAAGCAAGATGCGCTTGATAGCTTCCCAGATGGTTCTTTCTAGTTGATAAAGAGATACATGCTTGTTAAGCAAGATATCCAATACACAATCTTCTTCTTCAATGATGGCAGTAAAAACAAAACAAAAAAGTAGGCTAAGTTCATTTGTCCACATCTGAGGTTATTTGTGTGTAGTATTAATCTAGTGTATCCTATTAGCTGATATATATACTGTTGAGTGTTGACCACAGTTTCTTCTCTATTACCCAAAAAAAAGTCTCTTTTTAACTCTCCATTATTTCCTGACCACATAAAATTATTATGAGAGAGACAAAAAAAAAAAAAAAAAAAGATTGGGCAAGAAGATAGAAAGACGGAAGAGAAAGAGAGTGTAATAAGAGTTTGGATCTATGTGTGTTTTATCCACAAAGAAGACTCTCTCAAGATTCTTCTCTCTGTAGTAACCGGAAAATCCCTTCGTGTTTTTTTTTTTTTTGTGGTTTGAAAACAAATGGAACCCCACACTTACCTCTGTCTTTGTCATTTTTGTAAAGCCTTTGGTCTCAGAGCTTGTGTGTCTTCCTCAGAGCACCTGCAAGTTTCTTTGTTGCTATGCAGACATTACCAAGCTCAGATGCCGCTCTTCTGGCCTCGAACTCACCACCTCTTGTGCTACGTAATCCCGCCGGCGATGACGTGGACATCGATTTCGGAGACGTGTTTGGTGGTCCTCCTAAGAGACGCTCTAAAGTTAATAACGAAGTCACGCGCCATAGCTTCAGTGAATCTGCTCTCCGGCGGCGTGACGTCATCGTCGACGTTGACGCTCTGATTCCGCAACATGAGAAGCCTGTCTTCGGCGAAGAGCCATCGGCCCGGCGCCGTTTCACCACTGATGATTTCTTCGACGATATTTTCAGAGTGAATGAAGCGTCGTCATCATCTTCTTCGCCGATGATGATGAAGAAGGAAAGAGAACCAGTCGGATCGTCACTTCCGGGTTCTCGGATCCTTAGCCCGGCTCTCAAACCTGAATCCTCAGGGACTTCGTTTCCAGCTCAATTCAGGTTTGTTCAATACCACACTGATTAATTTCAACGAGAGATTTAGTTTATAACCATTGCTAAGTAATTATGTAATCTTTGACTTTGTTCCTTAGTCTTCCGGCAAAAGCAACAGAGATTCCCACATTTGGTTCAGCTACTCGTAGTTTGAGCAAGAACAAAGAAACTGTTTCTAGCTCTCCTTTATCAAGAACTTCGAGCAAAGCCGATGTGGTCTCTACTGGTATATCAGATTCAGATGGTTGTGATGATACTCCACGAGTTGTTGTTACTGGCAAAGGTAGGCAGTTTCATTTCTCTATCTACAAATGGCCTAATAAAGGAGTTCCTGTTGTCATTTGGGGCAGTTCTAGATTGAGTTCTATGTCTAAAGCTGAGGAGACAACGCCGGTGACATCGAGTGATCCTCAGTCTACTTCAGTTGAGAAAGCTGACAAAGTTGAAGAAGGTGAGATTGGTTTATCTAGCTTGAAAGAGGAAAAGAAGAACTCGAAAAAGCGTCCTGGTGTTCAGACAGAAGAAGTGAAAACAGAAATTGATTCGATGTCTGAACAGGCCTTTTCTGGTGTGTCAATGGCGCGTGAAGCTACTGTGAAGCCTCTTCATTCAACTGATTCGATGTCTGAACAGGCCTTCTCTGGTGTGTCCAAAGCGTATGAAGCTACTGTGAAGCCTCTTCATTCGATTTTTAAGGATAAGAATGAGAAGCAAGGTTGGTTTCTGCAGGCATATATCATGTATGTTTGTTACATTTGGTTTGGTTAGCTTCCTTTTGTGGACTTCATTTGGTTGTTTGTCATTGCAGGTGAGGAAATAGTATCAGAGAGAGAAGTGAAAAAAGGTAAAAGCAAAGCTAAGAACACGCGAAGTTCTACTGAAGATTCAAGAACAAAAAAGAAACCACAAGGCAAGAAAAGTTCTTTGGATAGCCCGATGCCGGATAAATCCAGCTTCGCAAGCTCATCAGCAGCACCTGAAGTTGTCAAAGATGGAGTCAAAGGGAAAGTGAGTGACTTTGTTAAGATTTTCAGCCAAGGAGCTTCAATAGGAGCAGGTGGGGAATCTCTTGGGAAAAGCTCTAGATGGAGGGCTAAAGAAACTCCTAGGACTGATATTAATCATGACAGTGCTAATGCCAATGAAACCAAGGAAACTGTAAACATTGCTGATCAACTAAAGAAATCAGCTCCAGATATCCCCGCAATGGTACTTAATCTGAAAATCAAGATCTTGTTTATGTATTTGTTACTTGGTTTGTGATTCCTTACCTATAATTATCCTTGAAGAATCGGGATCAGAAGACTCCACAGGCAGCTCATAAAAAAGATTCGGATCGGGAGAGCGTGAAGAATAATAAGGCCCGTGGTGTTACTGAAGAAGAAGAGCGACAAGAACCGACCACAGGTAAGTTGTTGGACTAGTGGTGTATATTGGATTTAATCAGCGTTATCTCTACACAATAAAACAACATTTGAGCTTACCATTTTATTTTCTCAGCACATTCAACCTCGGAGGATATAGATGAGCCTTTCCATGTAAACTTTGATGTAATCTAATACGCCTTTCAGCCCTCATGTTTTCAATATTAAAAATTGTGTATGTTTCATTTTATGAATGGCGTGGAACTTGTAATGTGATGTGCAGGTGGAGGATATAACACAAGATGAAAACAAAATGGAAGAAACCAATAATGACGCTGAAGAATTCCAGGTATATACTATTGGAATTGCAAAGATTTACATTTTCGATTCTTTAAATTAAACCTGGAAAATAAGCCTCAAAGCTAAAAGAAAGCGGAATCCGAACTTCTATAGAACATTGATGCCAAAATTCGAAAGTGGTCAAGTGGAAAGAGCGGAAACATTCGGTCTCTTCTGTCCACGCTGCAATATGTAAGTATTCTATGATGTATATATAGCACATACCATAGTTGGATCCTATGCCTTATTTGCATAGCTAATGAATTTGGAAGTTTCAACTTTACAGATTCTTTGGTCCGGGAGCGGGTGGAGGCCAGTTCCTCTAATGAATATGATCGAAGGAAACGCGGTTCGAAAATCGTACCAGAGGGCATTACTAATCCTTCATCCAGACAAACTACAACAAAAGGGTGCCTCCGCAAACCAAAAATATATGGCTGAGAAAGTTTTTGAGTTATTACAGGTAGCTGTTACTAGAACTAATGTTTTATGACATCCGTTATGATCACTGAATCTTTGATAAGTAAGTCCTTTTTGTTTGTTTGTTTGGTTTGATGCAATCATTTAGGAAGCATGGGACCACTTCAACACTCTCGGACCGGTTTAAAAGGAAGACAACAAATCTTTAGTCTTTTAGTTAATTTATTACACCAAAGGCTTATGTAATATGTATGTACAAAAATACACGGTTCTGTTGAATCAAAAGAAGATGTTTGCAGCGCAGACTCGCAGGGTTACAAAACGGTTGTTTTTTTAAACACAAAACGGTTGGACTTGGGGAAGAAGAGGACTCTGTTAACACAGGTGGAGTAACGAGAGCTTGTCGGAGTGTTTAAAAGGGAGGGATATAATATAAGTGAGGTGAGAGAGTTCTCCTCTCAGGTCCTACTTACACGAGGCAACATCTTTTTTATATTTTTTTGGTTTTTTCTTATTATCAAATCAATGTTGGTTCACATATATAGGTGATCACACGCTCTATTTATAGAGTTGTGTAAGAGACTCTCGAAACTTAATCCTAATTAATAGAAGAAGATAAAGCCAAACTATAAGTAATTGTTTATGACAATTTGCAGGATCACTGAATCTAATAAGCAATCATTAAGGAAGCATTGGACCACTACAACACTCTCGGAAGTCGGACCGGTTTAAAAGGAAAACAACAAATCTTTAGTCTTTTAGTTATTACACCAAAGGCTATGGTATTGGTATGTACAGAGAGATACACGGTTCTGATTTATCAAAAGAAGATGTTTGCAGAATGCAGAATTTTAGTTGTCACAGGTTTACAGCAAAAGAACTGTTTGTTTGTTGAGACTTGAGAGATCAGAGATCTATCTATATCTATCTGTTGTTATACTTTATACGAATAATCTCATAAAAAGGCTTTTAAGAGAGGTTAAATACGTTACGTACGGAGAGAGTTATGGATGTAGTTAAAGGCCATCATAAAGTGGGCTAAGCCCAATTGAAGAGGATTCAGTTGGTTAGCCGTTAGAAAACAAACAAAAAAAAGGGAAGGGTTGTGGTGGAGTTGGTGTTGGTGTTTGGCTTTTACGATTCTTTTTGTTAACGGTAAGCTACTCTGCCCCTTTTTTCTTCTTTAATAACTTCTACTTAAAGCTTTTGTATTCCCCATTTTACCCTTCACACGTATTCCAACACCCACACACTTCACCAAATTTGGACTCTGACTCTCTGCCCAACTCTCTCTCTCTAAACTCATCTTTCTACCCTCCATTAATCATATGAGGTTTCTTTGCCGTCACACATCTAAAGTTATACTACATAGATTAAGAAAGAAAAAAAGTGCGAATGTGTGTTATGAGATCAAGTGTGATATGTTCATATGGGTTACTGGTTAATACACTTAATATATTTGTATCGGAAATTCAAAATGCATCAATACAAAAACTCTGGACTAGAATGGAATATAATTGGTAAGATTATGGTTTCTCCTCTATTTTTCTAATTCCAGTTTCTTTGAGTAAAATTTTAAAAAACATTAAATAACATTTAAAAAAGAAGGAGGTCAAATAATAATGGTTCATTTACAATCATTGTACTTGCCCCTCTTCGAGAAGCCCAAAAAGCTGTGTGATTGAGAGAGAGAGCACGAGCTACCGAAGCACTTAACTTCGAGGCCAGGAGTAAATAAATGTCAAAGTTGTTTCATTAATTTTACTGTATATACTGTCAAAGTCATAAAGCATACGAAAATTGTGGACTTTGGGTGCATTCTCCAATACATTCTTTTAGACTTCAACCATTCTAATTCTTCAAGTAAGTAAAAGTAAATGTACTGTTGTTGTTTCTTTCTTTTTTACTGTATATAGTTCAAAGTCATAAAAGTCATTAGAGCATCCTCAATGGTAGGATATTACATGTGTATCTTAGGATTAATTTAGTAATAAACTGAAAAGTGTAAAATTTAAGATTTGTATTTTTGTTTTTTGTTTTTATGCAGGATCATTTGTAGGTTCTTAAGTTGTGCATCTTAAAATAAAAAATATTAATATTTTTTTTTTAACAATTTAATTATTAAAAACATAATAATTATTGCAAACTAAATTTTAAAACATATATGGAATATATTTTATTGCATAAATAACATAAAACACAATTAATTTAAACTTAATTTGTGGAATATTTTGTCCATATGTGATCAACCAAATCGTTCTTCAATTATTCATGCATAGCTCGATCACAAATTCGAGTTCTAATGGCTATTATATCAATAAGATTTGAATGCATATTTGTAAAATGTGAAATCCATTCGTGTATTTCCATAAGATTCTGCCAGTACAAATCATTGATATCAAACTGTGTATACGTATCTCGTTCGTTTTCTACAATGATATTGTAAAAATATTATACAAGCTCGCATAATATTTCTAATTTTTTCATTATCCCAAATATTTATTTCAACATCCACTCAAAAACTGCCACGTCACCGTATCTTAAACATTGTTGTGTATCTTATATAAGATACCATATCTTAGATTTTAATTACCATTTTGATTTAAATTAAATCCCTAATTCATCTAAGATACACCTAACATCCTACCATTGAGGATGGTCTTAGGACTTTGGTGCATTTCCTTAATAACCTATTTGTTTATTCGATTAAACAACCATATAAATTAGAAAATGCAGGCTGCAAAACTTTAATCCTGAATTAATGACAAAAAAGCGTAATTTTCACGACATGTAATAACATCCATTGCTTTGATGTCCTTTTCTCAAAAAAAAACAAAAAACGATAAATCATAAATTAACCGAACACGTAAGCAAAATTTGACCGGCTATAACCGGTTTACATCCTTCTTTTGTATTTGTTACCGTTCTTCTGTTTTTAAAAACCTCTCCAATAAGCTCTGTTCTATCTCTCTCTCTCTCTCTCTCTCAAAATTCTCTCTGTGTTCTTCATCTCACATTCCCATTTTACCCTCACATCTTCTTCAAATTCTCCATCTCCTACCCACTCAAAAGCTTCTCACGGATGTCTGTAGTCTCTAAGCTTCGCTCTCCTGCTAAACCAATGGTTGAGTCACGAGCTATCCTCTGTTCAACCGGGAACAGGTTTAAGGTTACCAAAACAGAGATTACAAAGAAGCCACAACAAGTCACGAAATCTCCTGCCACGAAGAAGCCCGATTCGAATTTCTCAGCTTCTACTGATGATTCTTCTTCTACCACTTCATCCTCGGAACGTTCGTCGGTGAAGACGTCCAACTCTGGGAAAATGATAACTCCCTCGAAACGGAACAACGGAGTAACTACGAAACTCAATAATGTCGTCTCCGTCGCCGTCGTTGAGGATGTTTC